CTTTTCACTTGACTTCAGAAAAGCTTCCACTGACCCAGAGCAGTTGCTGCATTTTTGCTGTTGAGCAGCAAGTGTTAATTCATGTAGAAATCTGTGAAATATGAAGCAGAAGCAGTCCAGTTCATGTTCAGTCCTAGTGAATATGTCAGCTTGATAGGTCATGCTTTGTATTTTGTGGGAGTCTGGAATGGAAATATATTTAGCTTACTTGAGAACATTTAATAATTTGTTATATTGTGTACCTCTGCTGTCCAAGAAGGAGCAGAAATCAGTCTGTCAGTGGGTACACAGGGTAAGTTTTTGATTACAGAAAACTAAAAAGAGAACAGTAGAAGCAGTTGATCTTTTTCCTCCGCCTCAGGGTTGCAATCCCATTTTTTTCTCAAATATTTCCTTCAGATTCTTTTATTCTTCTTCCTTTTATGTTTCTTTCTTGCTGGATACATTTTAGAAGGTGTACAGAGATGAAAGAGAAATTGATAGCCAGTACTTTGAAATATTTTGTTGTGTTTTGGAAGGCTTTTCTTAACATGGGAAGGGGAATATTCCGGGTGCTACTTCCATCAATAAGAACGAAGGGGCCTCAGTTTGTCATTACAGTGCTGTTAAGTTGACCATACAGTTGTGATTGACTGGGATAGTTAATCTAGGACATAGAGACTGTCCTGACACTCCAAAGAAAGGCCTTCTGGATGCTCTCTTGTTCCAAATTCCCTTCTGGGATGCTGGCAGATTTCAGGGGAATGGGCCTGCTGTTATTGCTGTTATGTTCTTTCCCAATCTACTGTTTGGATGGCAAGCATCATAGCCAACTTCTTTTCTCATTTACACTGACACAAATGAACAGGTCTGTTGGGCCTGGCAGGGGCTTTTATAGATGTTGATTACTTTTATTTATGTAATGTATAGCAATCAGATCCTCAGAGAGAGGAACTCAAAGGTGTTTTAAATCCTGTGGTGTTCTTGCTATTGTTTTGACTGTGAAAACACAGAATGTGCTCTTAAGCATGTTTCCTGATAGGTAGAATTAATTCCCCATGTCACACCTTCCCCTAAAATGACAAGCAAGTGGTATTGGGGATGCAAACACAAATTAGTTTATGAGTAAGCCACTGGCAAGGGTGGTGTTGCTATTGAGGGGCGTATAAAAAGCAGATAAGAGCCTGCTGGTAAATAATGCAGCTTTGCTTTCAGATCAGCGCTGTTCCACTGCAAGCATCGGCTAATGCCAGCTAAGGCATTTGCTAGGCGTGTCCAGTGCTCGCCAAAAGGGACAGTGCGGTGTCTGGCAGCTTCCTCTCCTGTTGAGACCATTTGGAAACCGACTGAGTCAGCTCTCTCATGGGATGAGACTTACCCTTTGGCAGAAGGTCCATACAAGACATAGGTGCAGTTTACCTCATAGTAAATGGCCTTGAAAGAAGGTATTTGCAGAACTTCAGTGGAGAATAAGTTTTGCAACAGTCCATGGAGAGCGAATTTTGAAAGGATCCATGCATCAAGCGTGTGCGATCTGTGTACTTTGAGAGCTGTGTGGGGAGCGCATGGGTGTCCACCTCTGGTTGTGATTTGTAGGGCCCTAAATGGTTTTGACACGACATTCATAGACTGCAAATCCACAAAGGCTTAGGTTGATCATCTAGTGTGCATAGTGCATGCCAGAAATACAGAGTGTGCGCAGCAGAAATATTTTATCTGCCTCATAACTTCTTTTCAAGTTAACATTTCTTTTTCAGAAAGATTTACTGTATTTTGATCCGGAGCCTGTGTAGCGGGCTAATTAGAAAGCTGTTCTGTCCTGATGACGTACTACCACTATTGCTATTCACTGGAAATGTTTGATCTGGAGTAGCTTTAATTCCGCTGGGGAAGAGAAGAACCAGTTAGATGTTATTTTTGGAAGGTGCTTTCTAAGATACCTTGCTGAAACCCAGATTTTGTAAGTGATCTGACACACTGTAAATTCTTTGTTTGCATCCTGTATGTTGTTTGAAGAAGCAGACTGGGATTTGAAGCAATTTGCTTAAAACGCCCAATGGAGAGAAAATCTTTAGCGTTGCTTCCTGGTGCGTCTTTATTAAGGCAGAAGCTGTGGTCTGTAGTGTAGCTCAGCTCAGAACAGGATGCCTAGAACATGAGATTGGGCCCTTTTGGCTTTTATAGATGATAGTAAATAAATAATGTACAGCTCCTTATTTGCTACTGCACATGGATCAGTTGGCACATCTAATTTGTTGCTGTAGCTTTTTTTATTAGATTTTTGCAAAGTGGTTGGAGTCTTCAGTCATTCTTTTTTAGCTTGGAAGAAGTCCTTGGTTTCCTCCTCCCCCAGTAACTGCCAGCATGCTCTCTTTTTCTCACTGCCAAGGGACATATTGCCAGCAGAGAGAAGTGGAAGCTATAACAGAAGGAGATGAAGACAATGAAGGCTGCTGCTGTTGTAAGCCTGGACACTTGCCTCACTTGTTATCATGTAATGCAGCCTTTAACCTCCGATGGCTGACATGGGAAATAACACGAACCCAGTACATCCTGGAAGGATATAGCATCATTGATAACAACGCTGCAACAATGCTGCAAGTGTTTGATCTGCGGAGAATACTTATCAGATACTATATAAAGGTAAACTCTTTGGTAAAATGGAATTTACTCCTAAGCAGGTTTGTCAAAAAGAAAGAATGCTAGCTTTCTATTAGAAGTAGTGTTTTAAATAACTGGCTTTAAGTCGATTCATTTGCTCTATAGCCAGTCAGATTGACTCGAAATTAGAAAGGGATAATTAACTCATATGTCCATTTGCTATATTTGATTCTGACCAGTCATACCTCCAGTTGCTACAGAAAATCGCATATTTGCTTAAGCAGACATCAAGAAGGTGAGTTAATATCCTGTATCAATAAAGTCATAAGAAACAATCTTACAAAGCAAAGCTTTGCTAACAGTTTGTTATTTTCTTCCTGACTTGGCTTTTACTACTGTTTTGTTTGGCAAACAAAAAGATCAACAAGCATAAAAGATCTTGGGAAATCTCTGAAGAGCTGTTTCTCAAATGTACTTTTTTAATAGTTCAACCCCCCTTCTTACATGCTGTTTCAGATATATACAACAACACATTTGAAGTTATTTTATTTCATGGATTAAACAGCGATTCACTTTCATCATTTCTGTAGTTGTAGTGTTATTAAGGTCGTGGTGACCACACAGATACTCATTTGTCAAAACAATCGAACCTTACAATTGAGCAAGACATCTTCATCCCCTTGCTTGAACCCATTCCGGTCCAGCAAATGAATAAATTGCTATTCTTTATTGTCTTCTACTGAAGCAACAGAACCCAAATGCCATGATTTATGCCATTGCTACTCCCATTAAGCCAATTAGCAAAGCTCTGACGATCTCTGAGGGATGCATGTCCTTCCTACTCTATCTATGCAATCAGCAAATCTTATCAGTCTTACAGACAGACCTGTTATACAGGAATTAATCACCTTTTTAGGCAAATGAACAAATGCAGTAAAAACAACATCATTGCCTCACAAAGGTGTTTTGATCATTCAATCAATTACTTTTGTAAAATGGAAATTGGGATTTCTTAAATAATTTTACGTGCAGTGAGGCCTCTTAACCAGCCTGGTTTGTTTAATTAATTAGAAACAAAACTGCATGTGAGCATGCTTCTTTCATTTCAAAAGTGGGTTTTGTGAGTATAAATTATATGTTTTTTACACAATGTAATCCACATGGAAAAAAGATCTTGTTTAAACTGAAATGAGTATGTTCCCACAATTACTTTGCTAATTTACTTTAAAATGAAACCTGAACATAAGCTGGTGCAATTTTAGACTCAACTTTTGTTGGCAAACGAGACTGAAGATAAAACCCAGCCTAACCTGAGTGAAGAGAGAGCGCGCTCGGGAGATTGCTTCTTTAGAATGACGCTCCCAAAAGGAAAATAAATGGAAATTTTTTTTTGCTCCTTCTCTTCAACTTATTGGTTTCTTCCCTGAACAGGAGCTTTGATAAGATTTGGTGAAGTCCTTAGTGCAGCCTAGGAAGGTAAGAAGATTACATAACATATCAGATGAGCTATCATCCTGTTAACTTAGTACTGCTAGAACTTATCTCCGGCTATACAATATCAGAAACAGAGGTGAGAACGCATTCCTTCCCCAGCTCGTTCGTGTTGGAGAACCATGAGCTGCAAAGACCCTGGGCAATTTCACTGTGAACGTTTTAAAGCCCTGACACTTTCCTTTCAATGGGGCAGGAAGGTATTGTAGAAAGAACTCTAGTTAATGCAGTATTCAGGTCACATAAATCACAAACTCAGAAAACACTTAAACTTTAAGTTTCAGCAGCAACTGCACTACCATTATACTGACTGTTTGGAGTGCTTCTAGTTTATTCTTTGTAGCTTACCATATGGTAAATATTTGTCAAATCGTTTCTGAATTGCCATGTAGCTGAGAATATACTTGTGCACAAAACATATTTAGGAAGAGTTAGTAAAACCAGAATAGTGGTGAGGTAGTGGAAGTTTTAGCTATTCTTATGTCTGATTACAAGTCTGATTTTTTTCCCAGCTGAATCTGCTTCTATGTAAACACAGGTGAGAATAATATGAAGAGCAAACTATATTTTCAAGATCAACCAAGAGAATGTATGCTTTGTTTCAGTTCTGCTTTGCCTCATGAATAATTGTCATATTTGTCTTTTAAACAATGCATTGCACTGAACCTCTTGTGCTTAATATATTTATTTCATTTGCAGTTTCATTGGCAGCCTAGAAAGGCCTTTATTTCTTCTTACAAAAGGATTTTTATTCTCCTCAAATAAAGTGGGTCAGCTCCTGTAGCCTTCTGCATATATTTTGAAATCATTTCCTGCCCAACTACTGTGAGATTTTTCCCTAGTGCCTCCTCCATCTCATATCAATATATTCTTATTTAAACATCTTTTAGTATTCAAGAAGTCTGCATTTGCTGAGTGCTGTGTTTTCAGCTCCTATTGTTTCTGTCTGGATCTCTTAAAAAGGGTGTATTATTCTCCACATGCGGAAAAGTTAAGGGTCCGTCCCCAGTCTGTACCTGTCTGTTTTGTCTTTTTCCTCTGGAGCTTAATTTTTCACTTGCTCCTGTATCTTTGTATAATTTAAAAGATAAACTGTGTATGGCGTCTGGGATTTTAAAAAGGGGCTGATAGTGCTTCTGTCCTTTTTAATCCATCAGATTTTCATTTTATACGTTTATTTGTTTAATAATATTTCCATTGCATGGGTAAAGTAGAACCACATCATCTTCAGTCGTGTTCACTGGCCCCTCATTTGCTTTGGAATCCAGTTTTAAATTAATATCCTTTAATAAAACATCATAATTATGAAACATTATAATGGGACTTCTCAGCTGCTGCCATTGTCCTTTGCAACACCGGAACATCTTCTTAAGTTTCCTTCTCTTTTGAAAATGCACTTTAAATTTAGTGCTGATAGCTATTCTGATTATTATTTTAATGGTTCCAAACCAATTGGTTAGAAGACCTTGAGCTCAGAAACCCAGGCACAGATACGAGTCTTGCTATTTTCTAAAGTTTCTGTGTTTGGTAAAAGTGCTCCTGCTGAGTGCTCATGCTCCATTGGTTATTTGAAAATAGTCAGTTACATCAGTTATCAGCTTCTTAACCTTAGATGTAATAGATACTTCGTTCTTCTTCACTGGCTTCATCAACAAACAGCATAAAAAATATCATCAAAAATAGTGGCGCTACTAAATGCAGAGAGAAAATGGCAATTAAAACAGGTTTTTTCAGAGCTGTGTTGTACACACCTATTGCCTCTCCCCTTTACAGTTAAATCATAATAAAGACGATTTTGCTAAAGAATTGGGAAAGCTTTATTCCCAGGAAACAGGAAGACTGCATAGAAAAAATTATCCTTTTTTGACTGTGTGCCCATTGGCTATTATTTTTTCAAAACATGCCTAAGCTTTTATCAGCCTGACCTTCTTTGTAATAGACTCTAGAACTCCAGTAATATTCTCCAATTATCACATCTGAGTGCTGGAACACTATATTCTTATCATTGTCTAGTGGTTTGTATGCATTTTCATCTATGAGACAGCAATATTTTAAAAAGTAAGGCTTTCTTCTTTTCCTGTTGTCTAATATTTAGACATTAGTTATTACAGTCATCCTGACTAAACATTCATATGAACCAATGGCAAAAAGCAGAAAAAATGTGTACCATGATGAGTAGTTAATACCGTCTTATTTGATATGTTCTCTTCTATGTGTAAAATATTTCTGTTTTAATCAGAGATACAGTGGCTAACACATGCACATTTTGTCGACAGAGTATAATATACTTTACAGCAAGTTCGCCCAAAATCATTCACTGGATAAAAGATGAATCCATCCAAAAGATACTACAGCCTTATGCAAAGTGGCATTATATTGAACGTGACCTCGCAATGTTTAATGTTAACATAGATGAAGATTATGTTCCATGTCTCCAAGGAATAACAAGAGCTAGTTTCTGCAGTGTTTATCTGGACTGGATTCAATATTGTGCTGGAAAAAGGGCGGAGGTAAGCTTTCTTTTTCTTATTAGTAGTATTTTAATTCCTGGGATAGAAGTTAAATGGTGCATGGTTACTCTGTTGGCTGCTCTGAAATAATACAAGAAATATATTTTATTTAAGCTGTGAAACGTAACACAATGGGAAAGTGTCTGTTTTGTAGAATGGAAAAAAAATTATGGAGACTATTATTGCACAAAAAATGAGCTTTAATAAGGATTACTCTTTGGATACAGAGCCAATCCCTTATTGTGCCTGCCCTCCAGCACTGTTAGTTCATCATCTATAGAAAGCACAGATATAACAAGTGTTGCTGGAGCAGGTTGTGTTTGGGGAATGTCACCGGAGCAATTGTTCCTTCAGCGTTTGCCAGCGTTTGGGTACATCTGCCAAACACTTGCCAATGCTTGTGTACCTTTTTCAAACGCTTGCTATTCTCGGGCACGGTCTTCGACTATACGGGAAGTACATAACAAACTATCTGTTAGCATAGGTCACTTCTGAAAGCTCATAATTCAAATGTGAACTACACCACAAAACTACATGAAATTATGTTACAGCTCTGGAAGGTCAAGGGCGAGTTTACAGCCACAAGTTCTTAGCGGTTTGAACCGAAAAGATTACTGGTGGTCACAGATCATTTGATGGAAATACACTCCTGTATTTGCATGGGATACTCTGAATAGCAGAAGGGGAGAATACAGTTGGAAACAAGCATGTTCCTTTGTTTTAATTCTCTAATTATTGATGACAACTGAAAGAAATGACGAGTGTCTCTTTCCTGGCCGCTCTATGCCATTATTTGAATTTTTCATTCTGGATCACTGACTAAACATCCCATTTGTTACCACTGACCTTATTTGAAGTAATGTCGCTTAATCTTAATGTTTCTTCTCTGTTTCCATTCCTTCTAATGTCTGTAAACCTGAATACCATTCCACCAGTTCCTCTACATATCACTACTTTGATTTTGTTTTCACTGAGTTGTCCCCTGAGCCTTCATCACCCATCTCCTCCTGCTGTGAATGTTTCGTCTTCTGTTCTTGCTGATCTTCGTTTCTCAGCTCCAAAGTTCTGACACACAAAAAATTCCATATTGCAAGGAAAATTACTATTTAATGACACTTTTTCACTTGTTATGTGGCTGAGACTTTCAAACAGAATAATAGATTTAGGGATGCCCAAGAGACTTGAAACTCATCCGAATTAGACTTGAAAGGACGAAACAATGCATGCAGTAGTGCGTGTGTGTGTGCGCACATATTTATATGTATTTTAACATCATTTTATTTTAGTGCTATTTTTGTAATTCGTTAAAAATGTAGATGTAGAGTTTACATAGGAGATGAGATGTAAAAAAGCTTCACAGTACCCAAAGCCCTGAAAATCAGTATATTTTGTAGAAGCAGCTAAAATATCCATTATAATAGGCTTTAGTTTTAGAAACAAAGAAATTACCTATTGCATAGACTAAAATAATAATCTACACCTCCTAAAGATTCTCATTCAAGGGGTGTTGTTTCAGTTTTTCCTCCTGCTTGACGGCAAACTTTTTTGCAAAAATTTCAGTAAAAAATGGCGCTCCTGAGCTAGTAAATGTAAATGAAATGTTTTGACTGTTTAAAAAGTGAGATCAGTGTCGTCAGTGGTATCTAATTTAAGTGGATATTGTTAATCACTAAAATTCAGTCCCCCAAAGTTTTCTAGGTAGACTGTTCTGAAAACTCTTTGGGGTCTCATATACACCGCGCGTCCCATGAAAAGGGGTTTGGCTGTCTCCAATTGCATTGCCTCTCAGCAGTAAGGATTCTGCTCTGTTTTAGAAAGTCGTTTGTGGAAAACAAACAAACAAAAAAAAAACGAAGACCCCTTCCCTTCAGATCTCATCACCTCAGATTGAAATGTTCTGTGTCTAGCCAATGGACAAAGTAAGCTTGCATTTTGTAGAAAGCCTATGATTACAGTGATCTTGTTCCGTTTAATTGCAAAAAATGCTTATCTAGGTAGGTCCAGGTACATACAAATTTTACAAATGTTACCATTTATACGCCTATTATAATATTGCAATGCTTTTAAAAAATGGTATTTGCATCTAGAATATCATGCTATTCTTAAAACCTTGTAGCACCTGGACAGTGATGAGGATTCTCCTCTAGTAACGCTTTCCTTTGCCTTGTGTATCCTTGGTCGAAGAGCTTTGGGAACTGCAGCTCACAATATGGCCATCAGGTAATTCTAGGAATCCTTTTCCTCATCTTAAAAGATCTGTTTGTCATCTTTCACCTACTGTGGAATCTCAGCAGAACATTAGATCAAGGTGAAGTCTGTTTCCTCCATGAAATAATTTGTTCTTTGCCATTCCTGGTCATCTTCTGATCTGCATAATACTTTGCATGGTAATTTCCAGAATAACTAATGCTCAGAACTCCCTTTGTTCACAGGAGTTTAACAACAGAAGAAAAATGTATTAAATATGTCATCTCTAAATGACATTGCTGTTTTAGTACAAAACTGTGAGCAAAGCTAGCTAGCCTGCTATCAACATGCTCCTTAGAGAGGATTTGTCTTATCATAAACAAAGACAGCATGTAAGATTTTGAATGCGTTTTGTATTATAAGATAAATCAATCCTTTAAATGTTCATTCTACTTTGTTATCTCTTATTTGGGAGGTTTATAATGTCGGGTTTTATGTCTTAAGTTAGTCACTCAAAATGTTCATGGCCTACATGGCTTATTTCTCAGCGAACTGCTTCTCTTCTCTTTCTTCAGTGGTTTTCTCCATCTCTCCTCTATTAGATTTTGCATGTTCCTTTTCTGTATTAGTTTTATTCTGGGTAGAGTTTCCTCTCCCTTAGTTTCTATGCACTCAACTTAGTGTCATGTTTAGTAAGTGCTCAATTTTTCTAAATTTGCCCAATTTTTTGAGGAACCAAATTTTAGAGTTTGGGGACATAATAGAAAAGTTGACGTGCATTTATCATTTTTTTCAGAGAAAAGATTAAAGTGATTTTGATCTGTGCCTGCAGCAGATATGTGACAGTGATATTAGAAGCACAGCTAAAAATAACCGCAAAAGCTTTCTAAAATTGTCATCGTGCTGCATGTACTTTCCACAGGCTTGTGAACTCTTCATTATGATGCTTTGGCAGTAGTACAGGTACCTTAACAATGTCACTTCTTTTTATTGGCCGACATAGTCAATAGCTAATGCAAAGAGATAATATTATCAGAGACTTTCCAAAGCTTAGCATGGAAAGTGTGACTGGTTAGGATAATTATTTGCAAAGTCCTCTGTAAGGTTTTAATAATGATTGCAGGAGTCAGCTAAACTGTGTCTTTTTTACACCCAGAAAATTACCAGTGAGCCAAATGAGTTTCTTTCTTTTGGTGAGCGGACACTCCATACTGAAAAATTCTTTTCCTGAGGAGAAAAGATCTGCAGAAGAGAAAAAATTGGGGTAGTTGTATGCATCGCACAGCTCTGTCCCTGTTCTTCTGCGTCTATTATATATAATACTATATCTTTAATTAAGTTCTGGCTTTCTTTTTGTTAAGGAAGTGCTCTAGGGCAGTATTGAATCGTAGTATTTTGAAAATGTGCATTGCAACCTAACAGGAATTAAGTGGCAGCTTCTGTTAGTACCTTTGTCAGTGCTACCTCGCAAAAGCTTTCCCTAGAAAAGTTTCGCTGTGAAAACCTGTGTCACATATCCTCCTGGTTAAGTTACCTTTAATAATTTCAACTCTTGGAAAGGTTTAAAAATAGGAAAAAACAAAAGTAATCTGAGTAGCACAATTCAAGTTATCGACTGGCCCAGCAACAAAACATGACTTTAGTTCAGTGAAATATGTTATCTTTTGTCTTAAAGAATTTATTTGATATTGAGCATAGAGATAACTTGAAAATAACAACATCAAAATAAGGAATATGTGGCTATTATGTAGTCCCTGACAAAAACAATTTAGTAGAAATTATTAACTAAGGAGCAAAGTGGGTACATTTCCCTCCTTACATCAAGGCCATTATCAACAAAACCCCCTCAAATTCGTTCACTTCAGCACAAAGAGCAGTTCTTGCCATACTTCTTGTTTAGTGCTTCACGCAGATCACCGCAAGTTATTTAAACAAAAAGAAACAGTAAGTGAGCAAGGCTCGGATAGGGCTACAGTAACACAGCATGCAAAGAGGAAGGAGACTGTCCAACACATGAAACAACGCTGAGGCCAGAAGGGGGATGTTCACAAGGTCTGACTTTAGGTGCTGAAGGCCTCCCTCCTCTCTCTCTGTATTTGGCAGAGAAAGTAGCTTACACAGAGGGTAATTTAGAGCGTTCTTGCTGGTCCTCACTCCCAGCTCTCAGCTTGCTGCAGATCTGTATTCAGTCAGATTAGGAGAGAAGTACTCAGGGTCATTAGAAGCTGGAGGAATCTGCTAAATCACTAAGTGATGCTTCGCAGGCCCTTTCCCATGAAGAGGTGTCATGGTGTTTTGGGAACCTTTCTGGGCTTCCTGGTTGTTGAAGACTGTTTTCTGCACAGCTCGTGTTTGCACAGGCAGCGCCATGATCACCTGTGTGCATCACGGGGACGTACTGCTTACATGGCTGTTGAGCTGACTCACTTCATAACGTGTTGGGGCTCCTAACCCGTGTCTGGTCCCACTCAAATGCTAGACTACAAAAGACTTGGATTACTTTGGTAGGCATTGAGACATGACCTTGCAGTTCATTTTGGGACTTTTAAAAATTCTGGCTGTGATTCTTGCCTTGACAAATTTGAGATGGAATGGGCAGTAGTTTTCTCCTCCTCGCACTTGTTTCTAGAAGGCGTTTTGGGTATGTCCACTGTGAGTAAAGCAGCTAAGAATTTGCTCTCTGGTCCATGCTTTGTTCTCTGGGTAACTGTGCAGATAGTAGGAAACTTCCTGCCGACTAAATCTAGTCCTCATTGTGTCTTGAGGAGAGACAGTCATCCAACTGCTTCACAAAAATAGTAATGCAAAAGTATCGTTCCATTGAGCTGTGCACTACAGAACTGAGATTAAAGTTTACATTGTGTATGTAAACTATCAATTTGCACTCATTTACACATGATTTTGTCTAATCTATTAATCAGTAAATGTCACTGTGTAAACCAAGATTTTAAATGCTCTTACATAATGTATGTAAATAATTATTCAGCATACCTGTTCATGTAAATGTCAGTACAAACCTAACATTAACACTAGATTACACAATAAATGCATTCATTAAGAAGGCAGAACATTGCTATGCAAATCACATGCTCTTTTAAACTGTCATTAGGAAGCATCCTGCACAAAATGCAATTTGAAGAATGACATGACATTACCATTCATTTATTCAAAGGTGAGTGATATGTTTCAGCATTTTTAAAGACTGGTAAATAATCCTATTCAATGACAAGATCTACTAATAAATAAATATTTAATATACATTTTAAGTTTGGAAAAATATAAAAAATAAAGCCTCTCCAAGTGGCATGTCCTGGAGCACAGGAGAGGCTCTGAAAGAGAAGCCAAGTTGTTCTTGAAGCCGAGATTTAAAAACAAACAGCGACATCTTCTACATTGGTGAAAACGAGAAAGCGGATACTTCTGGTGTTACCCAGCTTGCATTTCTGGGTCCCCTCAGTTCCCTCTGGAGTGTATTACTCAGCATGGACAGAGGATCGCTTTAAAAAAGATAATTTCTCTGCTTGGAGGAACCCCTGCTGGTGGTGAAGCTGGCAGAGGCAGCGGGCCCGGGGTGCCTTCCCCCTCCCCGCCGCTGCGGCCCCCGGATGCCCCGCGTTGGACTGCCCTGCATCTGGGGCAATAGTAGAGGCACTGGAGGAGGCTCCCTAATGCCTTTGCTGCTGCTGGGCCACTGGTGAGGTGTAGACCAGATGGGGCAGAGTTAGGTGTGCTGGGGCTGAGCAGAGCCAGGGGAGAAAAGTTTGACCCTTCTCTCACAAACACTATCATCTGAAATATCCAATTTAAAGGGACTGCAACTGAAGGTATTTGTTTGAGGTGAGTTAAGACAAAGAGATCATTATCAGCTGACAGGCATGCATGTGTCTTTATTACTTAAATAAATCTACAGTTAACGTTAGGATAGGTCAATAAAATGCACAGATCCTGAGGATGGGTTTTAGTGTACAAGATGCACACAGATATATTTACCAGCTCATTAATCTTCATCAGTCTGTGCTGTTTTCAAGTTTGCATCAAATGCTTTTAGTTTCAGTTTTCAAACAATGTAAGGAGTGAAATAAGAGGGAGTATTTCCTTTGGCTTTATTGCCTTCCCTCTGATACTTGTGGTGCTACTTAATCCCCTCCTTTCTGCACGTTTGAGGGGCAGATTGTTCCACATACCTACTAATAATGCTCTAAAAGAGCTCTCAGTTGTGATAGCAAGTTTTTGAGCTTCTTAGTTTAGAGGCTTAGAAACGTTTCCAAAAGTTTCTAGTAGTTATATCTCTTCCCGATGAATGTAATTTCTTTGGCATCTGAGTTTTAAAAATATTCGGAACAAGCCTGCAACTACAGCAGATTTCTAATAGAGGTATATTAAAACTGGGCAAAGAAAGTAGCAACAGCCTTGAGTCAGGCCAGAGATCAAAGTACATGGCTTATAGCTTCCTCATAATCTCATTTGAGTCTTCAGCAGAGAGCATAATGAGAAGCATACCAACAGCTGCAGTTCATGTGGATTAAGGGTTGCATGTTACAGAAGTAAAAAGTGGAGATAGTGTCATGTTATAGGTAGGATGTACCCAAAGGCCTCATTATGATTGGCAGAATAAAAAATTTGCATTGTTTTGTGAATACTACAATCTCCGCCAGATCTCTCTGGTAGAAAATACGATGTATAAAATAATTGACTCTCAGCCTCACACCATTTCTGCCACCACTGCTTTGCTCCCTGTAGCAGTTGCCTTTGTTTTTGAAAACATTGGTTAGGGAACTTATTATGCAGAGGGATGAGAGATTGATGGGTCTTTCCAAACTAGGCACAGCGAGAGCTACATGCGCTTCCCTCTGCTCCTTCTGCTGATGTTTACCTGCGGTTTGCACTAGCTGTCCTAGCCCTGCCCTTGCTTTCAGCAGATACTGCTGTTCACAGCAGCCTGTTTAGCGTGTGCCGATGCCTGTAAGACCCTTTGATGTGAACGCAAAGTCTTCGTCTGCTGTGGTGTTCAGATATGGCTCTGAAAGCCTCTAATGATGTAAAAAATGGTTCTTTTTCCTGCCAACTCCCAGCCAACTTTTCATAGCAAATGCAATAGGTCTTACTTGGGGAAAAAAATTACCACAAAATCATCAGTAGGTGTAGAGTTCAGGGTCATCTTTTTCAGTTTCATCCTGGAGAGAATATTTAGCTATAAAAGCGGTTTTTGCAGGCAAGGATTCAGCTGAGTATGCTGGATGTTCAGTCACATGCTTGGGTGGGTGAAAGGACCCTGCAGATTTCTAACCAATTTCAAGGAGGTGATATCCACATATTCCACAATAGAGGCTTCACCCACTATTTTTTTCTTCTTTTCCTAGATGCTTTATTCTAGAGCTTTCCTAGCTATTAAACAGGATTTGGGTATATTATCGTTTTCCAGTCTCTGGAGATGATTGATTGAAAGTCAGCCCAGATCAGGACCCATTCCTTGAAGACATATAACAGCTCCCATTGAAATCAGTGCTTGAACATTTTGAAGATCTCAGTTTATAAGTGCCTAGCTATCTCACATAACCATGTTTTAATGTGTAACTCTGTAAATACTAATAAATGCAAACGAGTCAAGAATTCACAAGCGCTTCCCTGTACTCATAACATTCCCAGCAGTGACAGTAAGCTCTGCCGTACTGACTGGCCTCAGTCACACTGATTACTTGATTTGTATTACATAGTGCTTTTTAAAGAGAAAATCAGTATACAGCTGTTTTTCTGGTAACAATATATATATTTTTCTATTATCATTTGTAAAACATGCTACCCGCCAAGGGCAAAATTTTAGAATGTGTTTGAGCTGAAGATAGGCCAAGCAGTTTCCTAATCCCTCTTTTCCCTCTCTTGGAGAAGAAACAAAAATTAAAGGATTCTTTTCCTCTCCTAAAATAATTAAGAAAGCTCAATCAAGTCGAAGGATTATTCATTCTCTGGAGAAAGCCTGGATAGTAATGAAAATCTCGAACATCTTAATGCCTTTTCTCCTCAGAGCCTGTAAAATCTAAAAAGTCAACTCTTGCAAGAGTGAGTAAAATCTTGGCAGGTAGTTTAAACCATGTCCTGTGGGTTTGTAAGAGATGCCTGTTCTAAACAGATGGTTCTGTTTTCCTCATTTCAAGATCACTTCTTCAGAACAGCATTAGGACTGCAGTGCTACTATAAACATTATGTAAGTGGCTGCTGTGGAGTTGTGGGAAGCTCGTGATTCAAGGGTAAAACTGGAGCTAAATGCTAGTTGTTTCCCTTCACAAAGCTCTAATGCAACCATTTTCTTACAACTACTTGATTTTCACCTTTTACATCTTTCTTAAATCTCAGGTCCAGGCAAACCCCTCATTCAAGGTCAGGCAGAACTGGTTACATCTAGTTTCTTATATTAAAACCGAAAGAAAAAAGAAAAACCAGCCCCCCGCACACATTTGGTTTAAGGTTCGTTGTTTCAATATGACATGCCTATAGTTTATTTCATGCTCTCGCCTGGTTTGCTGAACGGTTTATGAAACTTTTGTGTTCTTTTCAGTATGTCTGGTTTAATGGTCAAGTCTGGTTTTGTGTTTCATGACAAAAGTGTCAAGAGTTTGCTGAAAATATTTTTTACAGCTGTTTTTCTCTTCTTTTCTTTTTCACCTTGCAAGCAGAACTGTTAACGCTAGCGGTGCTCATCAGTAAACATTCAAGTAAGGGGACGAAGGGTGGGGGCCTGAATAAGTATGGCAGCCTAGCTGCTGGCATTCTTTGCCACAACCTCAGAGGTGCAGCAGCCTGATCCCCCCCAAACCCTAGGGGGCAGTGATCCACCCTCCCCTGGAACAACTTATGTTCCAGGTGCCACATTAATTTCATAGCCAATCACTAACAGCACAAGCACAAGGAAAAACATTTAACCACAAGGAATGGTTTTTCATTAGAAAAAAATTGCTTTGTTTCCAGGGCAAGAATCTGCAGCGAGCAGACCCACGGCAGTGCCATGCTCCGTTCTCAGCTCCGCGAGGGCACTGGCGAGCTGCACGCGTGGCTCAGCACGTGGCTGACGGCTTGCAGGGACGTGGGCTAGCGTGACGTTGTTTGGGAGATAATTACTGTTCTTCTCTTACAGTTTAGATTCTTTTCTCTACGGCCTCCATGCACTGTTCAAAGGAGACTTTCGAATAACAGCCAAAGATGAGTGGGTCTTTGCAGACATGGATCTATTGCATAAGGTTGTTGCCCCAGCAATCAGAATGTCTCTGAAGCTGCATCAGGTAGGGTTTTTTTAAATTACTTTTACTGTTGCATTTATTCTCCTAGGGAAATAGAGGAAACCTCAGGACCTGTCCAAAGAAGAAAAGAGAGGGAAACGCAGTACCTGTACAGGGAAACACAGTAGCTGTTGCTTTATTCTGAGAAACTTCCTTAACGGAAATGGGAAAGTTCAGCAATTACTTAGCTTACATTCTTTCATTTATATTTTTTTCTGTACCCGTTAGTTCCCCATTTAAAACCATTTATACTCCAGGCCTTGACTCAGCATTTTTCATGAAAACAAAATGCTAGTCGTGTCATGTTTTATTTGCATAGATACTATAAAGATGGTTTCTAGTTACTCATTTATCAATCCTTTTATGATGGGCAATACATGTGTAACACTATTCCATATATTAAAAGACACAGTTGAGAGGAATAGTTGTTTGAAGGATTTGTGTCACAGTTGAGTAAGTCAGTCATGCTGTTTCTGAACCTGTTTTGTTTTCAGCTGTAAAAGTCTGGCACAACGCCACTGAAGTCACTCAGAATTTCTCCAGCTCAACTCTTGTATAGCTTGGAGTTAAATTTTGCTTGTTCTGTGCTGAGCGTTATGTAATGATATACGTTTTCATGATGTATGCTATTGGTAATTGCTCTGTAGTGGAACTGAAGCAGAACAGCAGTGAATGAACATAAGAGAACTGAAGAAAATAATTTTATGACTGTTATCACTGGCACTGTTGCTGTGTGGCGGATAAAGAATATTGTGGTATCTGCCGATGGATTCCCAGTCTGTGTTCTTGTTGGTGTTTTTTCATGAATAAAAATAAGGATTTCCACATGAACTACAGAGTGTCCTGAGTAATTCTGATCTCCCTCCAGCTTAAGCGAAGGCTCCTCTGATTTCCCATGTTACAAAAAGAGAATGGTTGAACTGTCAGTTCTCTGAGTGTCTTTGTCCAGTAGAGAGGTAAGATCAAGTTACATCCTGATACAAAAAACTGTAGATACAAAGTTGCGTCTCTCTGTATTACCATGAAGTTAAATGATCTGCCTCCACAAATACACACTGTATCAAATGTTAAGTCCTTTTTGGGGACTAGTTTTCACAGAGATGCCTGACCGTTCTACTATGTCTTCATTTACTACCAGGACCAGTTCACCTGCCCAGATGAGTATGAGGACCCAGCAGTTTTATATGAAGCAATCCAGTCTTTTGAAGAAAAGGTTGTGATTTGTCACGAAGGGGACCCAGCCTGGCGCAGTGCTGTACTCTCCAACAGGGAAGAGCTGCTAACCCTGAGACATGTGGTAGATGAAGGAGCAGATGAATATAAAGTTATCATGCTCCACAAAAGCTACTTGAGCTTCAAAGTTATCAAGGTAGCTATGCCACCTTTCTAATGTTCCAGTAATGTAGCTCTGTAGTAACAAATATTATTTCTCAGTAATCTGGCCAAAAGGAGGAGGTTGATTATAGTAATCAGAGTAGCGACTGGAGGCCAGAAGTGGAGCTCTGTTCAGTTCACTTCCATTTTCCACGGTTAAGTTGCGTATCAGAAATGACATTCCAGGCTTAACCAGGGAGTAGTTGCAAAGGGTCATAAAAGCTGCTGGTACAAAGACACGACGTGCATGCACATGGATACTGCCATCCTACCTATATCACATAGTCGTGTATCTTTAGTAGCAGATGTTTTCACACGATCCAAACTTTTCTTACCTAACTGCAGGTGAACAAGGAGTGTGTCAGAGGGCTTTGGGCTGGGCAGCAGCAGGAACTGATCTTCTTACGCAATCGTAACCCGGAGAGAGGAAGCATCCAGAATAATAAACAGGTTTTGCGGAACTTAATTAATTCTTCATGTGATCAGCCACTGGGATACCCAATGTACGTTTCCCCTTTAACCACCTCGTACCTTGGGACACACAGCCAACTGAGGAACATTTGGGGGGGACCTGTCAGTTTGGACAACATTAAACAATGGTTCATATCCAAATGGTTAAGGTAGGTGTTAAATTTTGGTCATGATATGCAGGACAGAGACCCTATAGTCTCAGTTCCACTGTATTTTCTGTTCAAAAAGAGTAATTCCATGCTGTTACCCATGAGTAAAAATTAGTCGCAAACAATGCAAAATATATATTGTTTTATTTATAATATAAATAAAATAAAAGCTAAATAAAAGTCCTACAGATGTGGCAGAAATCAAATGCATTAACTCATTAATGGCATTTAAGTAGAGCTTTCTTTATGTTAGACAAGCATCATTATCAAATCACTTAGCATGACAGACATTTCCCTTTTTCAGGGAAAGTTTAGTGTTCCCCCATACCTGCACCTGCCCTACTGCTGCTGTGGCTGTTGAAGAGAGACTCTTCAACACTCTGTGGCAGCCAGCTTGCACACTAAGATCTATGCTAGAATACTAAGACACCCAGGTGTTCAATATGTTGGTTTCCCAGGATGCAGTTCGTTCCCAGACCTCTTGGGAATGAACTGCTTGGTTACCTCATGTGAAATTTAATCTTTAGAAACCCAATTTGACATTAGATGAAGAGTGCTAAGGTCTTGCAGGGCTTATGCCACCTGACACAGATAAGGAAAGATTTGGGTAGGATCACCACACAATTTTGTCCCAACTAAGCTTACCATGCTGTCATCTTTGTGAATCCATAAAATGGCAAAAGACTTGCAGTGGCATGAGAAAGAACAGTGAGACAGTTCTATTGTGAGGAGGCCTAACACTGGAAGCACAAATTCTCATGCATAATAAATAGCTGACCGTGTGTTTGTTCCTGCAAACAGAATGCGAAAGGACTGTCACGCAGCTCACCACGACAGAGGTAACGTTGAAGAGGTGGATGGTGGAGGGGGGTCTTCATCCGGCAGCAATTCCACAGGTAATTCAAGCCACAGCAGTAGCTCGCAGCACACCAGAAACGGAACACCTCAGTTGCAGGCTGCATCACAGGAGGTCCACCAGCACACAGGTATTTACATAATTTCCTTGACTTTTTCCTATAGGCTTGACACTAACAACGGCAGAATGAGAAATGGAGATGGGAGGAAGCCTGTGTGTGTGATGCAGGGAGCCTCTAACACAATGAACCCCTACTTACTGTTGACTTGGAATAGCAGAGCAGAAACGATGCAAAAGTCTTAATTATCTTAGAAGGACCACAACGATTTATTTGAGGAATTGGCTTGGTTGCTCATCAGTGTATGTATGTGGAGAACAAACAAACAGAAAATAACTCATTGAATCTATACAGCAGTTATCAGGAAAAAAATTAAATGTTGCCAGTCTTTCTGTCAGTTAACAGCTGAACCTTGTTCTTAAATTACGAGTCTAAAAGTACTTCAGATGTATTTACAAGATAGAACTACTCAACTTTTCATTGGAAATATGCGTTAAGTTTGCTAGTGGGTCACTCTAGGACCTATCACTAAGGGATCAGGATTTGGTGAAGGTTGAGTTAACTGGCTTTATATTACAGTTGTGGTATCATCATATAAATTAAAGCACAGAACTAGAAAGGTATGATACTTGTTTGTTTCCTGTTAGATCATTTTGCCCTATCATTGAAAATAATGGACAGGACTGGAGAAAATCTTGCCATGAATATAAATCACATTATAAGAATAAAGTAACTGCTGCTTTTAATTGAGTCTAGCTTTTGAGGAATCCTCATGTGCATACTCATAATTTGACACTGCAGTAATCAGAATGGCAAACTTAATTGTAAAATAATGAACCTGAGCATCCCATACAATAATGAAAGTTAATTGTGCATTGTTTAAAAGAATGCGTTGGATGCCTAAAAAACTCACAATTAAGAGACAAGGTCACACTTAGTTAAGAAAAAGCAACCTGGCTTTGAGATAAAATGAAGAAATGCACAACAAATGCAAGGAAGTGGAAAAGAGCAAATGCAAATCAGCATTCAGTCCTGAGAGACAACTGATAGAGAAAGGGAATTAAACAAGGAGAAATTTCCAGCTAGCAGCATTAGGGAGAGTAAGAAGAAACTGTTTTTTTTGTTGCTTTTTATTTTTTAAGAATATTAGAAACGGAAATCATAACAATAGTCCTGATCCATTGCTATATAAAAAGGTAGAACGGTCGATAAGGTAGAAATGAGAAAAAACAGGTCTGATTTGTATTTGGGAAAAATCTAGATGATTGATATAGTTTTAGCATCTGATGATGAAATAGTTCTTTCCGTCCTAATGGCTACAAAGAACATCATTAAAGAGCAGCTATCAAAGCTATATGCTTAACTGAGAAAATCCAAATAACTCTCATTCAAGAGTGTTTTTAAAAGAGCTGGTTAAAAAGGTCTGTTTGATCTTCAGTATCAGAACACTAAGGCAATACCAGAGGACTGAGAAAAACTTATGCTATGCAAGTTTTCAAAAAAAGAATGAACAGGGTGACCTGAGTAATACACATCTGTCAATCTGACGTTGGTTCAGGACACTGTTGGCCTATCATGCACAGTGCCCTAATGTAAGAAATGTATTGCTAATTTTGAAAGAGTTGAAAGAAGAGTTACAAAACTGATCAAAGACCTGGAAAATATGTCCTGGGCACCAAAAGCTGACCAAGATAGTTGGTTCTAGTAGGTTTAGATATAACAAAGCTAAACAAATTCAGATTTGAAATCAAGTGCACGTTTTTAACAGTGAGGGTAAATAACCAGTGAAACAAGTGGCTAAGGATTAAGATGGATTCTCCAGGACTGGAAATGTTGGCTGCATTTCTTTAAAATAATAGTAATAATTAATAATACCATACAGGAATTAATTCCAGGAAGTTCTATGGCCCACGCTATATAGCACGGCAGACTAGATGATCACAGTCATCCCTTCTAGACTCATAATCTATGAATCAAGTGCATTTAATATTTTCATATTTCATTTTGCAGCCTGGTGCCACTGAGTCTGCAAAATGCAATTAAAGTCATATATAAAAATGCAACCCAAATCAACAGCATTGGAAATGTGTGGGGTTCACCCCAAAATTGTCCTGATTTCATGATGCAGTTTATAGATCAGGCTTCATTTCCTAAGTATTTTCAGGGACAGTGTTATTTATGTGTAGATATGGGTGGTCTCCTAGCCAGTGCTCTAACCACTGCATTTGGGCTGAATATAGCATACTTTTGGACAGCGGTCAGCTTGGCAGTTTAAATCAGGAACAGATGTTTGGCCACAACAGCCCCTGAACAAACTAACACTCCGCAGCCCCTCTGTTCTTAATTCCAATCTGCTCTTTTTATTTAAAACAGTAACATATTAAAATAACCATCAGACCTAGAAACTAAAGCACTTAACCAAAACCCCAGAGTCTCAACAACCTGAATCTCTGGGGAGGTCAGAAATGCATATGGATGCCACTGTAGCAGCCAGGCCTGACCCTCTCCCCCCCCCCCCCCCCAATTACAGCACGTGCCCTCCCTACTCACTGCGTCTAAAGTGCAGCATACGCTTGCCAAACAGAGGCCATGTCCCATTGCTCTCAAATAGCGATCCTGGGGCTCTTATTACGTGGGATGCTGCTTTGCATGCCATCTTAAGAAAATTACTTATTATTGTCCTTAGTATAAAAGTAGAAATAATGATATATTGTAAATGGGGTGGAAAAGTGTCCAGTGCTTGCCAAACCAACTAGGTTTTTATTCCAGCTAAGCAGCTCCAGTGAGGTTATGCAGCACCAGCTCTGCCATCTGACTGTGTGCCAAGTTACCTAAATTCTCTTTGCTTCAGCATCTGCAAAATGGGGCTAATGATACCAGCCTCTGGAAAGTAGATGGGTGGAAGTAAAACAGTATGTTTCAGCTATATAATGTAAATAGTTTGAATGTGAAATCCTACCTTAATGGAATCCTCATGAATTCAGCAAGCAATCATATTTCTAAAAAGACTGTGAGGTTTCTATTGCTTTATGGCTGCAAAATCTCAGTATCTGGAGGAGTTTCTGTGCTTCCCTCCCCTCCATAGTTCAGGTATTGGGAGAAATGAAAGGAAAAAAAAATGCTAATAACCTGGGAATGCCAGCCAGAAAAACTTGTTTCTGCATTGATGGGTCTCAACAGCTTTTCTGCTATCAACCCTCTACCCGACAGCTATAGCTAGGAAATCAAAATGCCAGTGTCTGTTAATGGCTGGAGTTTCCTGGAAAGCAAAAAGCTAGGAAGGCACTCACATGACGGGGTATTTGCTGAACATGCCAGCCTGCTGCGCATGATTTGCAGAGTGCCTGGGTGAAAGCAGGTATCTGGTAGATTCACTGGCTGATAAGTTGACTTATTTTGCATTCTGTGTTTATGTAAATAGGCAAGCATAAGAAATACAGAAATGGGTTGTCTGAATGACATACAGTGTTGATGTAAATATTAAAAAAGGGGGGATATATGTACAGGAAGACAGAAAATGCCTTGGCACGTCAGAATAGTTTACCAAACGTACTTCCTGTATCCAACAGTGGCTGCATCAAGATGCTTCAGAACATGGGGCAAAGGCCTTATGATGTGGGTCTCATTTAGACCTCCAATAGACTGCCTGAAGTAGCTGTTATCTGTGTTACACTGTAATTATCTCATCACTCTTAGAACTCAGTTCAATTATTAAGTCTAAAAAACCTTCATGCGGCTTGACTTCTGTGGTGTCTATTCTCAAATTCCAATGTCCAGTATGCAGGAATTATTAATGTGGCTTTGTTTTAATTCACAGACTTTTGTTTTATTTTTGTAGTTAAAAGTTTAGCAAGTCATTTAAAGTGAATATTCAGCGTTGCCTAAGTTAGTGGTGGTGTCAAGCGGGAATAGAGTTACAGCAATACTATGCTCATTCATTCAATAGGCAGGTTAAAAATGTGCTTGATAGAATAGGTGTGAGCCTGTGATGAGAACAGGTTTCCTGGGTTCTCCTCTCATCCCTTGTCTTACGACTCAGTGCAGAACTGCTGGATCGATTCTGACCAAAGCCAGAACCATTCCAGTGGTAAAAACAGTTTAATAGGTTAACAGGTTAATAGGTTTAGCAATTTCTAATTTTTGTGGTTCTGGTAACGCTGACAAAACTTGATTCTTGGCCAAACAGTGACACATATGCACTGGACAAGGTCAATAGCACGGACTTCATCATGATGCCAGTGAAGAGCGCACCTAAATATATTAATTTCTCTTTTAAAGGCAGGAGAAAACTCAGGAGTCACTCTGTCCAGGCACACACTGCTTTAAACCAAAGGCCCCCTGTTTCAAGTCACTCTGGACCAATCGTAGAAAGCCGCCAGCCTTTCATCCAAACATCTACATCTGCCCACGAAATTGCCCACAGGCTTTCTAGTAGTCAGCTGTCACTCCACAACTCGGCAACATCTGTTTTTTCTCAATCCCCTGCCGTTCCTGTTGCTGGCCAGCTGACTGTGCAGGACCAAGCTGCAGCAATGCTCAGGTCCAGTCTGGCCTCTTCCACCAGCTCAACTCTCAGCCTGCTGTTTGGCAAGAGGAGTTTTTCAAGCGCTTTGGTGATTTCTGGGCTCTCCGCTGCAGATGGAGGTAACACCAGTGACACCCAGTCATCCAGCAGTATGAATATTGCCATGGGTCCATCTGCCAGAGCAGCAAGTCAAGCAGCTCAGGTAAGGCTGAACTATAAGTAGCAGTACTCACCACGACTTACTGTGCTGCCCTTGTAAAAGGTCTTTGAACCGTCTTCACCACGGTTTCGTTTCTTCCTTCTTACTGGTCAGAAAATAGTCATTCCTTTTCTAAAACAACATCAGGATTTTGGTATTTGTTTTGGATTTTGCATCACGATGAAAATGAGACTGTTCAATTTGTGTGCATATGATAGAGAGAGATGTATTCATAAATAATGGATAGACTGGCTGTTAGGCATGCACCTGAGCTGGCAAATTGGAGCAAAGTCCCTCTTCATTTTACTTAGATCAGGACCTTAAGTTTCCAAATTTTATACAAGCCCAGCTGATGAGTACCACCATCAGCGCACTAGGTAGTCTCTTCCTTGCTTGCCTACCCAGGACTTACTTACTTAAATTATTTGTACGAAGAAGAATGGCTCCCACTGAAAAATGCACTTATTTTCTCTTTCTGACCAGAAATTTGATCCAGGACCTGAAAGCCTTGTTGTTGAAAGGGTTACTGAAAGGAAGTCTTTAGGAAACGCTTCCCAAAGGAAATGAAAAGTCTTTAAGGAAACCTGCATGCTTGATGAATCAGCATTTTCTAACAGAAAAATATTGCACAAAAATGTCCAGCCTTCTTCCCAGTAGGCTTCCAGTTCTACTCCCATCTTCCCTGGAAAACTCAGCACACAGAGTAGTGTTATTGTTTTATTGTTTGCTTGACTGTATTTATTTAACTTTGATTGTGATCAGTTACTTTCCTGCATTGTGAAACTTTCACCTCAACACTACAGAGCAGTAACATAAGAAGGCAGCCATTAGAGATAAAGGGTGGCTGCAATTAGAGCCTGAGTGACAACATAATTAAGACTTTCACATTTCACCTATCAAAATGGGAATCAAATTGTCAGCATGGCAAAACTGTGGAGATGGGAACTCTAAAACATTTTTCTGCTAACATGACTCTGAACTGTGTAAATTTAACTAATTTTCAAAAAGTTGTCCAAACCTCAAGTGAAAAAAAAAAAAAGCTCCTTAACCTGTGTATCTTTTGCTCTCAGCCCCAAAAATATTATACAGTACAGTCCACTGAAGATGAGTTTGCCATTAACTTCACACAAAACTTGCCTGAAAATTACTCATCTGGGCCCTACTCAGTCCTACTCTAATGAGCATTAATGATAGTTCTACATATACAACTGAACACATGAGATGACATGGCATAATTCCAGCTCTCAAGCATTTGCAGCCTAATTTGCAAGAATTCAGCCAGTCTGCAATATATAGGGTAGTAATGGTGAGATTCACCTCATCTAACTTTAAGCCATTTAAAATTCTGGAATGAAGTCTTAGGTTGCGGGTGTGATCTTTTTACTGAGTGGAGAGGACAATTCAGTTCATCTTTACAGCTGCCAGAAGGAAATCTTCCTCTGAAAGACTTGTTTCTCTCTGCCAATGACTGATGACCTAGATGATATGTGTAGACTATATGGCCAAATTTAGATGAGGTGAGTCCTGGCCAAAGCAACTGCTCAGAGTCTAGGTGCGTATGTATTTGAGAGTGGTAAGAAGGAAGTGTTATACTTAAGCTGCATGCTTCTGAAAAAGCTTATATAGAAATGGACTTCTCACTGTGGGGTAACACTGAATGTAACCTTTTCAGTCTGATAATCCTATTCGGTTATGATGAAAAGGTTTCTTTGTAGGTTGAATTTAAAAGTTGGTGTATAAAGCAAGCCCCAGAGCAACTTGGTCCAACTTAAAAGATAGCCTTGCTTGGAGCAGAGCACTAGACTAGATGGCCCCCAGAAGTCCTTTTCAATGCAAATTATTCTGTGACTCTCTCTATACGTGTACATCTGTGGTATTATACCTCTATCTCCTGGTCTGCTTTTCTTTCTAAATTTGTGATTACGCTTAGTGAGACAAGTACCTTTTCATTCTTCAGAAGGCTCTGTGAAAAATGCATGTTAAGAACCCCATGCAGTTTCACAGAATGACATTCCTATATTTTTTTTAAAAAAAATTTTCACCAGTCACTTCAAAAAATAGCTGAAGTGTTAAGTTAGAAATTCCCTAAGCTAGTTGACTCTTTCTTTCTTTAAAGCAGCTCACTGAGACCTGTGAAGCAACTGATGCTACAGACTCCAGACCCCGAAGAGACACAGGCCCTGCCTGTGCCATATTCATGAGCCGGAACTTGGAGTGCAGAAGGGCTAGCCAAGAAGATATGGCCCTGGAAGACACAGCATCTCAGGAAAGCCTGTCTGAAGAGCAGTAAGGACTATTCCTAGAGCAAGGGCCACATGCTTCTAAAGACAGACAGTTAGGTCAAGGAGCTGCAGGTGGGTTTAAGTTCTTTCAAATGTAACAAGCAACCTCCAAAACTTTATTTTTCTAGCTTCTAAGCAAGAATTCTATGGCGTAGATGTTCTTCAGATAAAGGCCTTGGGTTGAAAGATGTCCTAACAAAAACAGTGCCACTTCATCTCAGGTCCTTGTAAATCCTAGAACAATGAATACAATTTATCTGAAATCCCCCCCACAGAGCTGGTGACATACTTGTGGGGGAACTTAGAAAAAAGCTTAAAAAAAAAAAAGGTAACAGTTGGAATCAAGAGTGAATGCAGTGGGAAATATTAATACAACTCAGTGAAAAGCACACAGTGAAAAGACTTCTCTTCCCTGCCATAACTAAACAGCTGATTGCATGTGAAATAACTGGCATTTGATATATAGTGTATAACAAACAGCAACTATGAACAAAAGCAATGAATACATAAAAGGACAGTACAATATGTACTGTAACAAAATAGTTAAATCTTTTTTTTTCCCAAAAGCCGACCTTTATTTTTAACATGTTATGCAGGTGCTAATTATGAACAGCAGCTTAGCATCACAGATAGATATACTGCATGCAGCCATATTGAAATATTGTGTGACAGAACCACACTACACAGATTAACAAAAGTCAGGTTTGAGAAATGAAAGTAGCCAGTGCATGGAAAGCCTTCACAAAGCATATGGTGCTCCTTATTTGCAGGGAAAGCTTTGCATCAACAGCTGCTCCTACATGTAATCTCACAGTCCTGTTTGGTTTACAGCAGTGTTTCTCAAATTCTGGGCAGTCGCCCCTTTGGGAGGTGCAAAAGGGCCCAAGGGAATCCTCCTCAAAGACACAAAGGTGTAAAGGTGGCTATTAATATTGTCTGCAAGTGTTTGCACTGGGAAGGGAACAGCTAACTACCTTTAATTGCTGGACACAGCTCAGTGTCCACAAACACTTATAGCTAGTAATTACAGAGCATTCCGATTTCCTTCCCCCCCGAGGGACGGAGCTCCTGCAAATTTAATAGCTGCATGAAGACAGAGGTAGCAAAGAGGGAGGTCACACTTTCACAGAGTTTGCGGAACACTGATTTACAGGAATGCATGACTATTTTGGAGGGCAAAAGGCTACAACAAATCCTTACTGTACTATAATGTATTCATGCGCGCACACACATGCGCGTGCATTCTCCTCATTCTTTTTTTTTTAATTAAAAAATTTGCAGCTATGAGCGTCTTGCTGTTCCTCTTTACTGTAACTACCATAGATTGTTACTAATTCTCATCACAACGATGCGCAGCCAGGCTGTCTTGTCCCAATTAAGAAGAAAGATTTAACAAGAGATGCTGTAGCTAAGTCTCATTGCCTTTAGACAATGCACTGTTGCATTCTGAGCTTCCTACTGTGCCACACTTATAATATTATTATAAGTAGTAGAACTAAATAACATCTAGTGAAAATAAAATGATCTAAGTATGTTTTGTGTGGCAGCAGTTTTTGGGTTTTCTTTTCTTTTTTTGAATTATTTTTACTTGCTTTATGGAATTGAAAATTTTACTTGCTTTTCTTTCACATCAGATTGTGATAGTTTTTTTTTTGTTTTTTATAAAGCTCTGCATGAGCTAGGCAAAGCCCTGCTCATGTTCACAAAAGCAAAATTAATGTACAGCCTCTGAGATACATGGTCAACATGCATCAGAGGGTGGCTTAGGCCCTACTAGTGGTGTCTCCTGCATCCAGGTGTAGCATGAAAGAGGAACCTCAGTTCAACTGCTCGTTTCTGACCACTTTGGCAGGCATATTATCTCTCCCACCACCCTGCTAGCGGAGTGCTACACAGTCTCCGTTACAAATGACAGATGGACATTTTACAGGCAGGTGGCAGACTCTTACTAACAGCTGTCCCACATCTGCCTAGGAGGCTTCTGCTATAGGTAATGCTCATATGCTCGTCAGATTTTACACTGCAGTCTTATTATGATAAACCATCTCCAGTTTGTCTTCCCTAAACACTGCCACGCATGGGGGGGAAGGAAAGCAGTCAGATGCAGAAAGCACTGAACCCTTCCATACTAAGTTATCCTCACTTAGGGCTCTCATTTTCAAATCTCTTAACTTGAATTTGAATTAATTTCCATCAAAATTAACTAACTTAGACCTCCAATAGCTCCATCCAAACTAAATTATACTATGAATCTAATTTAGGCAACTAAACCAGATTAGGGAATGGCTGCACAAGCTCTTCCTCTGGCAAACCACTAGGCTTAGTTACCACTGACAGAGGCCTAGCAACAACAGGAACATCTTCCACCTTCTTCTGTCAGAGGCTCTCCTGTCCCCAGGGCCTTTGTTACTGCCTCTCAGGTCTTGTCTTAGTTCAGGCCACCAGACCCTGTAGCACAACTCCTTAAAGACAGGCATGTGCCCAGCCTCCTGCTGCTCAGGGTGGTAGCCAAGGAAGGCATGTCCTAACTCCTTGTTCATGTACAGCACACAAACAGAGCAAAACAGGATTCAACCAAAGATTCAAACAGTTTATAAGACTGGGCTTCCTCTAATGTAACTAGTTACTTCTAGAATTCAGGTCACGTAGTTTGTTTTGTTTTGCTTTGAAGTTGTTATTGAAGCATGCTGCACTGGAAAAACAAAAGACTGACCACTGACAGTGTCAAATAAAATAAAAAATCCAAAACACCAAAATGACAGAATAAACCCTCTTCCAATTGTTACATTTCTTCGTAATTTTGGAGAAAGTCTGATGGTATGAAAAAGACTACTGCTATTTCTAGTGTTTTTAAATATGGGCCAGTCTTCTAGAATAAGCAAACACAATGGCTAGAAGTTATAAAAACTGGAACCAGGTAAGAGGTTGTATTGAATAAACACTGTATTTTGGATTAAAAACAACAACAACAAAGCAAACAAAAACACCCACATATCAGGTAACTACCCTATCAAACGTGAAGCAGAGATAGACCCCACCTGCTCTGTAGGTGATGGGAAATACATTTAAAGCTCCAATGCACACAAAGCTTGCAAATGGGTATTTAACCTTTAGGCAGGTCCTAATTTCAACAGTAAGACCCTCAGAACTACTCTGCATAGCTCTAAAACATATCCACGTCCATAGGAGCCCCCCTTTTCAACACTGATGTCTATGGATATGCAAAAGCTTTAGGCATACTTTGTTTATTCTTGAACGCTCTTAATAATCTGACACTTATCTCACACATAAGATCGTCTGAGTTGCAAGGTGGGCATCTGTCCATGATGCCTCAGGAACTCCATTGAGTCTTGGACTCTGCACAAAAAGCAGAGGCAACTTTTGTTTCTTTTAAGTCAGATGCTGCACTGAAAGGTTTCATGGTGGTTTGAAACCCATTGTTAAACTTGGTCCTGAATTTATTCAGCTCCAACAGTTTGCAGACATTACATCTTTGATTTGTAGCATAGATGTAACACACGAAGGATGGCCATGACTAACATGTAAGTACCTCTTACGTGCAGTTCTAGTGTGTGTCAGTTCTGACGATTCAGGTGCTACACTTGAATTTTTCAAAGCTACAATGGCTGGAGATGCCACTTACTCAGCAGCAGCTGAAGGAAGAAGCCTGCTCGATGCACATTCAGCCAATTCAGAACCTTTTTGTTTCTAAAGCCTGAAATCAGTGATACTGCCGTCTTGCTAGCAGGCTGGACTCATCCTTTGAGGAAATCAAGCACTCAACCCACAAGAGCTGTCAGTACAGGTGAGATTTTTTTCCACAGACGTGTCAGAAAGGAGAAGTCCCTACCTGGCCGCCAGATTACATCAGCATAGCCGAAAAAAATATCATGAGTGATTTTATGCTCAGTGACTGGCTCAGAGCTAGCCCTCACAACAGAACAATGAGGACCACCTACTGTACAGCAGGCTGCAGGAAGGAGTATAATAAGTACACAGTAAAACAAACAAATACATTATTTCAGGCTTCACATTAAATGCAGGATAGCTGCCCCCCACTCCCCTCCAATTTTGTTTTCCAGAACCTTTCTTCACCAATTGACTCTTGTTTACATTACTTTGTAAAAACCAAGTGCTAAATTCTTATAGGTGAAACACGGCCAGAAGATCTGGTCAACAGACTTCAGTAACATTTTACCAAAGCCAATCACAGGCTGCTGAACTGCTCCCATCCTCCAGGTATGCTGGCAAGGCCCCAGGCTGCCCTTCAGCCCAGCTGTTTCCTACCACAGCAAGTAGGAAACAGTGACAGACAGCATTTACAAAGGTCATTTCCATTCATCCCGAGGTACAAACGCTGGAGGTCCTGCTGTTCTCTCCCTTCTGAAGTGACTTACACACCTGTTACATGTGAAAACTGGAATTTCTCATTAAAAAGCCTCATTGCATTTTAATGCAATGCCATTAAAATGGCATTGCATTTAAGAGACATGCCATTGCATTTAAGAGAAATGTGAGCAAAGGACTTATCATTGTGATTCATTTTCCCTTGCCAAGACTGCCAGATAGTCTCAATATCCATCTATGACATTCTGAAATCATCAAGTTATTAGGAGTCCTTGCAATGTCAATCACAGCTTTTTTTTTTTTCCTTTATTAGAATAAAGCAAGAAACATTTGGAGCATTTGGTTCTAACCCAACTATTGACTGCTTCTCTTGCTGGGGAATTTAAGTTCAAGATTAGCTCAATTCTATGCAGCTCATTTTAGAAGATGAGAATTAGCAATAAAATTCTCCAGCATATAGTCTCATCTCATCTCCTCATCGATATATATTTTTTAACTACCCAATCTGTGCCTTTTTTAGATTCCTCTCTGGATTGGGAATTGGTATTTAATTACAGTGCTTCACTAGAGCTTGTACATCCTTAAATCTGCAAGAGAGAAATACTACTTATAATTAACTTTGCAGTAGGTCCAGTGTTAAACAGTCACCTCTCTCATTCAGCCGTCTTGTAGTTTTACAAGTCAGAACGGCCTAATGCATGATAAATAATGCAGGCCCTTTTTATGCCATGCTGTGTGTAATTTTATGTTGGAATTATAAACCTCCTTGCCAAAAATGTCCTTGATTCTCAAGCTTGGAAAGAATAATTGGTACCTCATATTCTCCCTTTTTTGCACCAATTAAAACCTGCAGGTGCACTAATGTTGTCATCTGGAATCTTGCTGGTGCATCACAGGTTATTTTCAC